TACCCATATACCCACACCCACACCCACACCCACAACCCATACCCATACACCCACACCCTAGGAGATTATTTTTGACGCCAATTTAGCCTATCGACATCAATTGAATATCACTAACATAGAGTTTAATTGGATATTTTCATAAACCAATATCTGCTTAGGAAAAACTATCAATTGTAATAATCATCTGTAGATGTCGTTTGTTGGTAAAATTATTTTAGTGTCATTGACTGTAAGTGTTAAAGAACCCATAACTCTCTCGTGACTATGATCGTGACTGTGACCGTGACCGTGACTAGTTTAGAAAAATCTTCGTGACTATGAACGTGACCGTGATGTGACCGCGACTACTTTGGAAAAATCTTCGTGACCATGAACGTGACCGTGATCAGTTAGCTCGTGACCGTGACGTGGCGTGACTAAAGAATCATGGTCATGCAGAAGTCTAACACCCACACCTACCCACACCCACCCACCCACATACCCACATCCCACACCCACACCCACACCTACCCACACCCACCCACCCACATACCCACATCCCACACCCACACACCCACATCCGCCAACCACACCCTCACCGCTATACGTCCAGATAAACGACATAATTCAGAAAAAGATCTCGATGAAATTGCATTTTATGGTGAATGTATATCAGTAGCATTACGAACAATAGCAACATTTTAAAATCGTCATACAGGTCAAATCTATGGACCAGGTGCACAATATAAAAAAATCAATGAACAAATAGAAAAATCATATGATGAATATGATAATGATGAAATAAAAATGCTTTATGTATTTAGTGCTGAAAATCGAAAATCATCAGAATTTGATTGGAATTTAAATTATGGTTGTGGATTTAATACATTTAATTTTAAACTTCTTAATTCACAAAATAATAAAAGAAGAAAATAAAGATTTGGAACATTGGGTTTTTTTTATTTTTACTTCATTGTCTATATTTATATATTTTAATTGAAATTATGAATGGATCTTATTTAAATTCAATTGTTAAATAGTTTGTTTTATTTTTATTTTTAAATAACTCTTCGTTGGTAAACAAAAAGAGTCACAACAATAATAACAAATAAAAGGCTTTCAACAAGAATTTTTAGAAAAAGGAATAGAAAAATAAAAACAACAACAACACTCTTTTTTTAACTCTTAATAATTAATATAAACCTCGAAGAACATCATCTAATCAACACCATCATCAATCATAACTCCTTTCACTGTATAAGTTTTAATACAAGTTTCAAGGTGTGCAAAAATTATTTCTAAGCGTCGATCAATAGCAATAAGATGTTCATCAATAAGAATCATTTGTAATCCTTCATGAGTTTTTAATGAATTTGAAACTAATTTTGAAAAACCTTGTTTATATACACGATATAAACGTGCAAATGTTTTATAACGAAAAAAACAACAATGTCGAATAGGTGTTAAAATTGATAAATCATCATCATCATATCGACCAAAACTTCGGCCATGATCCAAATGTAGTAAAGCTGTATTGTTACCAAATGAACTAATACGCATCATATGATGACGATCCAGATTACCTTAAATTAATTTTAATAAAATAATATAACGTGCACACAATTCAAAACTTTAGCAAAAACCTTTCCGTGTTGCTATTATGGGATAGAACTCGTCGAGTTGTATAGGAAAAAAATTCTAAATATTATATATTAGGATGAGGAAAAAATGAGCTCAGACATTGATCTATGTAGTCTGTTTTTTCTTCTATAATACACTACATTTTTCGATCGAATTTTTTTTCACTTTCCCACCTAATTAAACTTTGGTATATATGCCAAAGTTTAAGTTCAATATTACGTAGAAAACTGAAAAAAAAATTCGATCGAAAACATAGATAAGTATTTGAGCTCATTTTTTTCCTCATCCTGATATATAAAAATATTTACAATTTTTTTGCTGAAGTTTTGAATTGTGCATACATAACGGAAAAAAAAACAAAATTTAATTTACCTATAATAAAATCAAATGCTGATAAATCCATCATATCAAGTAATAAACGATTATGATAATATTCATCTATCATAATATATTCATAACAATAATTTTCATTTAATTCCCATTTAGCTTTTCGTGATGCCCTATATGATCGACGATATGGATGAGTAATTTCTTCCCAAACTATTTCAGATGATTCTGGTAAAAGTACTTGAACAGAACCTTCTAATTGATCACCTGGTTTACCACAAACAGCATGCTCTATATCACAATAATATGAGCAATGACCATAGAAACACGTATTATTAGCTAAAAAAAACATTCAAAGACTAAAAAATCATTTAAAAAAAGCTTTCTTTACCAGGTGAAATAAAAAATGTTCTAGCTAATTTATGTGTTGCTTTTTCACGAATATCACTAGTTATATTAAGAACTCGTCCAATTACTGGAGGAACACGATTAAAACCTAGAATTCTAAAAAAATGACATTAGTATTAATAAAACAAAACAAAACCAAGTTTGTATAAAGTAATTTACTTGTCTACATGAAATGCTGCTATCTCAGCATAATGTCTTTCAATATCACTAAAATAAAAATGATCCGATGGTGTTTGATAATTACGCGGTACTCTATATAATCAAAAAAAACAAAAACTAAAATTTCATAATAATAAAATTTAAAAACCTGTAAGGTTTTAATAGTCCTTGAAAACCATTAGGTAAGTCAAGAAGAATTTTAATTTGAGTACCATGTGACATTTCATCTTGAAAAAACTATGTTAAACGAAAACAACAAATTTCATTTACATACTTGCTTTAGTTATTTTACCATATTGCAAATATTTGAAAAGATTTTTAAATTGTGAACTATGTGTATCATAGACACGTAAATTGTTCACCGTTTTCATGAACTGAAACCATGTTGTATTCAATTTTCTGAAACGAATCATCAAGAATTTTTATTATATATGTATATATAAGACAATATTCTTATTGTATTGAAGGAAATATTGAGTTTTATTGGAACTGATCCTTCACATCCATTTCTGCATCAAACTCATAAATTCAGTTTTATATTTAGAAAATTAGATTCATAATCGATGCTACTTATTTCAATTATACAGGGTGTTTTATAAGTCACAAAGCTTGACAAAATGAAGGCTAACCGAATATTTTTGTATGAGCCTTGAGTGTTCGTGCCAAGCTTCCACATGACACATGATTGGATAATAAGAACATAAACATGAGACCAAGCTGTGTATTTATGAAAACCTCACATGCAACAGGAAAACCGAAAGCATTTTGAACTATTAATGAATTATTTAATAAATCGATTTTTACTCCAAGAAAGTAACGCTAAATTTGCTGATATATCGCTCATTGTAAATTTTAAAGGAAAGAAATAATTTTCAAGTTTTAAACAACTAAAAACGAAATGGACCAAAGAATGAAAAACAAAACAATTTGTAATGATTGATAAAATTCCTGAGAGACTTGGCGAATTAAGATACAAAGTGGTGGATAACAAATGCATGATAAATAAATGAGACTTTTGTATAATCAGATTAATAGAGTTTTTAATAAAATATCTTGTTGATCGATTGCAAAAAAAAATTTATTTAAACATTCTCATGTTTATATTTTTATTATTACAAATAAAGATATTATCCAATAAAATGTCATTTGAAAGATGGATACTAGTATTCAAGAGTTGTATAAAAACATTCGTTTAGGGATTAGTCTCTATCTTCATATCAAATAATGTCCTCAAGCCTCAAGATTTAAAATAAAGAAGATAAGAATTCATATCCATTAACGACGAAATTATAGTTGAATGAAATTAATGAATAAACATAATAAAACTAAATTATAATTTCTAATAAAAAAAATTTTGCAAAACAAACAATTACTTATATATATATACGAATGAGATTTGATGTTGACATTAGAAAAATTTTATGATTCAATTCAATATTTTCTTTTTAAATCAAGACGAATATAATAATCCCTAAATAGACACTTTCTTATACATGATAAGAAATAACTTCTTTTGCATCTTATCGTCTTGCTAAAAGAGAATGCTCAAGGCTTTAAATGATTGGATATTAATAGTACATGCTTCTCTAAAAGCATATTTTATTTCATCAAATTAATCGACTAATGTTTCATTTTGAATAAACAAAAGCCTTTTTTTTTGTCTCTATACTCGAAGGCAAAAAATATGACAAATTTGTTTTTTTTTTTTGTTATAAGTCGATAAGAAAACTCTTGTTCACATTGAATAGTTTTTCAATTGATATTATTAACAAGAAAAAAAAACATGTATAAGTAACGATCGGATTAAGACTTAAAAATCTACTATGTTATTACATTTTCTTTACTATGATATACTTGAATGCATTCTATATACAATCACCGATGATGTATGTTATTATTTTCATGCTTCTTCGCGACCTATTATCATATTTCGAATAACAAAAAAACAAAAGACTATTTTCATCATAGCAAAATCCTAGTTGACTAAATCATTATTATTTGTAAAGAAAAAAAACAAACAAACTACGAATTATCAAATAAAATGTACATGACAGACGTAACCCTAATGTCTATTATCTAAATTGACGGATTCAAAATTTATGGTTGAGAAAATATTGTTTAAATATGAAAATAACAAAAAAACAAATTTTGGACTTACTCTGGGTCATCTTGTGCTAATGTATCATGCATAAGATCGGCTAAATTTATAATTGTATCATTTAAATGTTGTTGTTTCCATTTAGCTAATACATGATGTATAAAATATCGTAATTGTTTTTTATCATGTTCATTGATAGTTTTTTCTTCATTGGTAAAACTAAGTTTAGGTTTTTTTCGTTCCTCACTGTCTGAATCAGATGAATCATCATGTTCACTTGTATCATTAGTATCATTTTTTGATTTTTGTTCAATAAATTTTTCAAAAGTCCATGTTGGATCAAGATAATGAGATTTTTTTATATTAGATAAATCGATTTGATCATTTTGAGCACGATGCACTAATTGATAAAGTTCATCTATACGTTGACGTGTTATAGATGATGCATGATTAGTTAACTTGAGTGTTTTTGTTGCTTTTATATCACAAATATTTTCTTGACAAAGAACTGACCAAAATGATACATCAACAGGTGGTTTAGGAAATTTTGAAATATTTTCTTGTGGTTCAAGATCAGTTGTTGGCCATAAAAATGTATAAAATGTTACAAGGCAGAAAAGGCTTAATATTGTTAAGCTGAAGAGAAATGAACAATGTACACGAAAGCTTAAGTACCACATTTATTTATTATCCAATGATGCGATGATATAATGTCTTTTTCTTAAAAATAGAGAAATGGATTTTATATAGTACGTGCTTGTTTTTTCTCTTCTTCCAATTCCTCCAGGTCTGTTTTTCTCCGATTTGTATTTTTTCTTTTGAAGACATTCTCAACAACTCGAGTAACGTCATTGGAGTTCGTTTACTACAGATTGGTGATAGTTATGTGTTTTTGATAGTTTGGTCTAATAAATATCAAACAAAAAATTGATTTGATTTTGCGAACAAATTATTATTAATTTTGATTTTGTTAAAATCAAAATTTATTTGTATGTGTGATAAAAAAAGAACTCAATGTTTACAGAACTTAAATTTCTATGAAGAAGAAAATTTTTTGAAAAAAACAAAAAGGTTCACATGAAAACTTTTGTAATTAATGTTCTATTCAACAAAATCAAATTCAAATAATTATCAAGAATTCGCAAATATACAAGGAATGAAGTGAAACTATCGAAAAAATTAGATTATTAATCCCTATTTTCTTGCTATACGATAATCTATTAAGCAATGTGTTCGAAAGAAAAATTATATATAATAATAAATTTAGATTTCTTTCATTATATCGTCAATAAATACAATAAGAGAACTAAAAATCTACACGAATAAAAATAATTAAGATGAAAATTAAGTCAAACTGGGTTTTACGACAACTTCTAAATAAAAACGTGTTGTAAAGCAGAAGTATTTGGCATGATAATTAGCAATATTAGATTTGTCATTGCTCATGCACAAGTACAATGCGCTATTTAGAACTAACTCGTCTTTACATTTTCACTTGTCGTATGTCTTACTTATTTTTTCTACTTAAAAAGTTGTCGAATACCAATCAATGTTTGCTATATTCACGTTTATTTGTGTATGTTTGCAATAGAAAAATCTTAATCTACTGTATTAGAAAACCATGAAAAAAAAAAAGATCGTTCGACACTAAGTTGATTCTCTCAAGGTGAGAAAAAGCAAATAACTTTGGTCGAATAAAAGCAAAAGAAAAAAGAAGAAAACTATTGTCTTCAGTCGTATTAGAGAAAAAAAGAATGTTTCTGTCTGCGTAGTCGACAGTCGTATGCGCTCTTCGCTCTTTGTTATGATCAAAGCACATGGGGGGGGGGGGGGACATGTATAAGCTATCAGGTGAATTAGCGAAGAACAGAAAGAAAAATGCCTACTTTATGGAACTGTTCGAAAATCAAGTCATTGATGAGAGAGAAGGAAATCTGTGATGTGCTGATTTTTTACCAGATCGATGACAGAGTACATCAAAGAATGTGACTATTGTTCAGTCAGATCAACACGAATTTTTCTCTAGCATACGTATTGTCTCACCAGGTCTTCAATAACATCATTTTCATATCTATCGAAAATGTAAATCAAATTTTCAATGCTTTTCTCTTACTAATCTCAGTATTATCCATCGAGACAACGAATATTTCAACGATTAGTTCGGACCATACACGAATGAGACAATGTGTTATAATAGATATCTTTATTATCTTGCTTATAATGTTCAAAAACAAACAGAAATATCCACTTAGACGAAACGAAAAATAAAACGTGATATTGATATTTCCAATAGACCATATAAGTGTGTAAGAATTTTCACAATGAGACAGTAAATCCTTGAATAACTATCACCTATTTCAAAAAAGAAGAGCCATAGATATTTTTTGAATAAGGGTGGGGTGTGTGTGGGTGAATACAGAAAATATTAGTACCCACACCCTCTCATGTTCACGTTGAATAAACAGGAACTTTCTAAATTTTATCATCTTAGTAGTTCACTTCTTATGTGAATCTAGAAAAAAAAAAATTTAATACACAATAACTCTTTTTTCGTAATGTTAAGTTTGTCTCTGATACTAATTAAATTTCATATACGAAGGACCTAAGAGAAATCAAATGTTTCATCTTTTAATAGGAATACTTTCGAACCATTCTTTTCATGGATCTAGAAAAGTTCTTAGAGTCGCAGTTTGAGACTTTCAGAAGATGAACTTTATTACAATATCATTCTACTCTTGTAAGGTTTACCTTTTCGATAGTTGTAAATTGTAAACGAAACGAGAAATTTAACTTCTCTCATCAATAGAAAATAAACAATTTTTTTTTTCTTATATCTTCTTCTTATATAGACACAATTCTTGCTTTGTTTCTTTACATCAATTAAAACTCTATTAGGGATGGGATGAAAAGAGCATTCGTATTGTTGTAGGTGAATTTCCCGTTAAATAATTTGATAGACTTTGATAAGGATCTGTGTGTATTCGAAGCTTAGAACGGAACGAGCCCATATTCCTACTTAGTAACGTTACTTGAACGATAGTATCAACTTCGTATAGATAGAGATGTAGAATATCGATAGCGAATAAAAAGATTTGCAAGTCCGACTGATGCAGTAAGGAAGTAGGTGTGAGGTTACGGCGTAGCAAAAGAAGTTCCGACACCCATACTCACACCCTTTTCCCAAGTCAAGAGATATATGGAAAACAAAACAGTCTTCTGAAAATTTTCAATATAATGAAAATCAAAATTTTATCGTTTACCTAAGTTGGCATATATACCAATTTAGTTGTTTCGTAACAGACGAAGTGTGACAACAAAAAAACAATACTGAGAGAAAAAATCTATTTGAATTACACTGTAAAAAAAATTTTGCTGCATTGATCTGCTATTGATATAAAATTATACTGGTTATTTATTTAAAAATAATTAACATTATATAGAACAAAAACATAAACACAGTATATTCGAAGCAACGAAATTTTTACCACCATAAATGTAAATTATCATTAATATATTTAATAGAATAATTGTTGAGTAAGTTTTTTGATTTAATTAAAACTTTTGTTTGTTTTAAACATACTTTCGGTACCTTCAAAATACATAAATAACATAAATTTCGTGTTTTATTATGAGTTTTCGATAATAAGAATCGAATTATTTCTCCAATTTCTTTTCTATTCAATTCAATTTTGAAATATTTTAATCTTGGAAATACATCCACAATAAATTTGATGTCACTTAATGAGGGTGTGGGTGTGGGTGTGTGGGTGTAGACTACAAAAGACATCCACACCTACATCCACCCACACCCACACTCACACATCCACATCCACCCACACCCGCACCCACCTCACATCCACACCCACACTCACCCCTTTTTTTATTTTCTATCCTGTGTATGACGTGTAATTCATTTATCAACCTAATTTTTAACAGCTGAAAAACAAATCGTACAAGATCCGGCATTACTTGAAGAGCTACGCAAATATCGAGAACAAAATGCTGAATTAATAAAGCGTTACGACGAACTGGCTGTCAACATGAAGAAGAAAAAGCTCGATTCATTTGAAGCTCTTGCTGAGCACGATAAGCAAGCTGCAGCTGCTCTGGTGGAACTAGCACATAATACTAAGGCACAACCACTTGAAGGTAACAATATTGGTCTATTCGGCTTGACGTCGACAGGGAAGTCAACAATGCTTAATAGTCTCATTGGGTCTAAAGTAGCCGCCACAGGGTCTGGTGAAACAACAATGGAAATTAAATCATATTCTGCCCAAAAATTTATCCTATGGGATATACCTGGACGGAACGATGAAATGTCTTATCTCAGTATGAATTACATATCTTTTTGGAAAGGTTTGACTCGAAGATTAGTATTGATTACGACAACGGTGAAGGAGAATACAAGCATGATGAAATTGCTGGATGCCATCGGTTTACATTATGATATTGTGGCAAATAAATTTGATCAAGTAGACGAAGAAGACCAAGAAAAATTTCGAAATCAAATAAAAACTGAAATAAGTACAACAGGTCTCAAAGGTGTCGATCATGTTTTCCTTGTCAGTGCCAAAAATCCAAAAATGTTTCCTGATTGGCTTACAATGGTCGATTATTTAACTGGTTCAACTAATTGAATGCTGATTTCGTGTTCATTGCAGGAGTTCGTACTTCCCAAAAACTGATATAACTTTTATTCATTCTTTTCTCTAACTACGACTTTATTAATTACTATTCTATTTGAATTGCAAATGATATATTTTCAAAAAGTATTTCTATCAGTTACATTGGAAAAGTAATATAGGTGACGACAAAAGTTTTCGCTCTACTATGTAATCGCAATGACACTCGTGACATATCTGAAAGTACTACATATGCTGCGGGTAAAGTGAGTTTCAAAGAATGATTCTAAGCTACGTACGACGCGTTTCGTCCTTGCTTAAAGGACTCATCAGGTAGATTCGGAATCGAATGATCTGCATGATGATAATCTAAGATATTCTCAAATCAAAACACAGTCTTATAAGAGTCATCACTGTATTGACAACTCTCAACAATACCATCCAATATCGAGAAAAGATTATTATAAATCATAGAATTCTCGAAACGGTGAGTTTCAAAGAATGATTTCGAGCTACATACGACGCATTTCGTCTACTGCTTAGATAATCATCATTAGGTAAGTTCGGAACGCTTAATGTTGTTATTCCAACAAGATGAAAACATTAGTTCAGAAGGAGAAAGGGACAAACTTAGTAGAAGGAGAACAAAATGTTTCAAAGACGAGGATACATCGGTATGCAGATATCTACTAGTCCATCCTGGTTAGTAGTTCTTTAAGAGGTTTCTTATGAATGACGAATGACTCGAGTATACATTGCGTGTCGACCATTAGTCGAACTTTAACATCATAAACTGATGAACCAGGATATGCAGAATATTCATGCCACCGTTTGTAAAAATCTTTTTTCAAGACAGAAGATTGACTGCTATCGAATAAATATCTAGGATACATGACTTTCCGATTCCACACTTTATTATGCAGAAAAAAAGCAAGAATTACGAATCATTCATGCTTATGTTTACCATGAATTTGTCATACAGAAAAGACAATTATTTTTGTTCTGCGAGAGAAAGATAAACTGTTTGTGTGACGTTTGCCTGAGTCTTCAATAGTGCACGTAAACAGATACAATTAAAGAACATATTCCCGTTGCTATACAGAAAGTGAAAACATGAATTACCCATTATTCATGGTTATGTTTTTTATGCAGCTTTAGTGAGAAGAAATAATTGCTGCCATTCGATCAGAGAATAATTAAATAATTTTATGATGATTGCCTCAAGTTTCGAAAGCACTCAACAACTACTATTTTAAAAAAAAACGTTTTCGCTCTACTGTGTAGAAATGAAAGAAAAATATTTTTCAATTTTTTTTGTATTGTTTTGCATGAATCGACAAATGAGAAGAGAGATGCGTTGCCATTCGCTCAGAGGACGACAAAGTAATTGCACGATGATTGCTTTGAGCGTCAACAACGCAGGGTGTGGGTGTCAATGTGAGATAATAGAAGATCCACACCCACACCCTCAACTCTGGTTTATTATTTTTTGTTTATTTTTCTTGTTTTATGTATGTGTAAATGTCCTTTGTCGTCATGTTGTGTTTCTTTTTAGTTTTTGTTGTTGTCCTGTGTGCATCTATGTTTGTGTTTTGTCCTTTGTGCTCTTTGTCTCGGTAAATTTTTTGTGTTCAACTTCCATTTGTTCTTTGCCTAAACTGGTTCTACCAGTACTGGCTATCTATTTATCTATCTCGACTCTTTCTCGAAGGAGATACAACTTTTGTATAGAGAAAATTGATAAAGATAGCGAACAGAGATGTATAAGAGAGTTGTTTAATGATATACTAAATTTGAATAAAGATTCAGTTACTTATTGATTGTCCATATCTTGATGTGAATAGATATTAAATTTCAAGCACTATTTAAACATCACTAGGCTACTTATTTATTGTGATTGTTTTATTTTTCTTTGAGTAAGAAAAGGAAAAATTGGATATACTTAGGGCACACCAAAAGTAGTGACGATTCTATCTCCATTTCGTATAGATGGCTTGAGAAAACTTTCTTTTTATACAGACTGGTAGTAAAAACAAAGTTCAACATTTCTACACTATTTGATCATTATTCATCTAAAGTCATAATAATAAAATTTCCATTAGACTTATTTAGCTATGATATGTGACGATAACATTAGTCCATATTGGCTTCGATATTTATTCTTACCTTGATCTTCTCTTTGTTCTTGAGAATGAGAGTAAAGATAATAGTGTCATGAACTCTTTGAATAAATAAGAGTATAAAAATATTCGATAAATGAATTCAACGAATGTAATTGTATGTGAATAACCAAGACGATTATTTCAAATACTTGATGAAATAAAAACTTGTTTCTGTATTCCTTTTTTTTTGTTCTGTCGTCACTAGTTTTGGTATACCCTAAGTTCTATTTTGAAAAAACACCTAAAGCTACAAAAAAATAAAAATAAGAACTATGTTTTTAAAATGATATCATCATTTTCGATCACATATTTTCAGTTTTTGTTTTAATAAATTCATCAATTATATTCTCCAGCATATTCAATGGCAATGATCCATTCAATAAAACCGCTAAAATAAAAAATAACAGCATAAAAGAATATAGATTTTAAAATTTTCTTAAGTATTTCATACCATCATGAAATTGTTTCAAATCAAATTTATCACCGAGTCCTTTTTGTGCTTTTTCTCGTAATGATAAAATTACTTGACAACCAATCATATAAGAACATGCTTGTCCAGGATATACAAAATATCGTTCGACATCTGTAATAATTTTTCCCTTTTTCAGACACGTATTTTCGACCTAAAATTTAAATATACTTTAAAAAAAAAAGACTTTCTATAAAAATCTTAACCAGATAATCAATGGCTTGTTCACGTGACCATCGTTTCCAATGAATGCCAGTATCAACAACAAGTCTTAACAAAGCAAAAATTATTATAAAAATTTAATAAATATTTATACCGGCATGAACGGAAAAGTTGAGCATCAAGATATCCAAGATAACTATACCATGATTTATGAAAACCTTCTTCTGCTGCTAATTGTTCTGTATATAATGCCCATCCTTCAGTATAAGCAGTAAATCCCATCAGACGCCGAAACAATGGTAAATGTTTAAGTGATTGAGCCACACTACGCTTTAAACAAAATTTATTCAAAAAATAAATAAATAAGTTGAATTTAAATGTTTAGTTTTACTTGAAAATGATGACCTGGAACAGCTTCATGATAAGCTAATGTATACATTTTAAATTTAACTATTTCGTCAATATTACGAAGATTTACAAATAATGTTCCTGGTGTTTTACCATCAAATGATGCTGAAGAATAATAAGCACCTACTGCTGTTGCTTCTTTAAATTGAGGTATACGTTCAACAACACATTTTGCTTTTGGTCGGCATGCAGATGAAAAATATTTATCCATTTCATTATCAATATCTTCAATGATTTGACGAAAATCATCAAGAATTTTTGTTCGACTTTCTTCAATATTTTCATATTTTTGTTCACTATCTTTTTCCAAATTTGTGATACTTGTTCGAAAATCATACCAACTTTCAATTTGTTTTTCTTTTAAAATTCTAAATATAAGTGTAGTGTCGACTATAAATATATTTACGATAAAAACATTTAACTATGTTCATTCTTCTCGAAGGTATTGAGCTGAGGACTTCTCAAATATATGTCACAGTTGACATGGGAATTCAGTTGAGTTTAGAATGCATGTAAATAGTATGAGTCACACGATAATTAATGTTTGTGTACTATTGTATTCAACTGTTGTAATTTTAGCGATTCTAAATGATTCGTCGAACTTCTATGATCTATTTGGAATTATTTTAAAATATTTACATATAGAAAGTTTTCATTTTTAACCATTCTTATTTAGTGAATATTAGAATTTTATGAATTTTATTCATCTCCTTATAATTAATCGATTGATGTTCGTTGCTATGGAATATTCAATCAAGAAACACATTCTATATCTGTTTGTTTTTAATTACATTAATTGTTTTTTCATGTGAATCTCTTACAAAAAAAAAATTATTCTATAAAAACAAATAGCTCGAATACTCTCGATTTCGTTTCAACCAATAATTCAATGTCTCCATGTCCCGCTGCTCGAAAAAAGTGTCTATTCTATAGAAACGAATAGCTCAAATACTCTCGATTTCATTTCAACCAATAATTCAATGTCTCCATGTCCCGCAGCTCGAAAAACATCTATTCTATAGAAAGAAATAGCCCAAGTACTCTCGATTTCGTTTCAACCAATAATTCAATGTCTCCATGTCCCGCAGCTCGAAAAACATTTATTCTATAGAAAGAAATAGCTCAAGTACTCTCGATTTCGTTTCAACTAATGATTCAATGTCCTCATGTCCCGCAGCTCGAAAAACATTTATTCTATAGAAAGAAATAGCTCAAGTACTCTCGATTTTGCTTCAACCAATCGTTCAACATCTCCATGTCCCGAGCATCTATATAGAAACTACAACATAAGGAAAATGATGAGTAAGATTTACTTTTAGAAGGAAACAATAAATAGAATGACTAATGACTTTTCATCAACAAGATAACAGTACGAAGATACTTTTTATTGTCCGAGAAGTAATAGTAAATATAAATTTGACAAGAAACAAACAAGTTTTCTTGAATACGTGTTAGAAAAATTTTTAAACAAACAAAGTGAACTAAGTAATTCCAATCTCAACTAGATTCCAAACTCAACTGCAACATATATAACTGTGCAGCACACATAGAAATTTTCCATACGAAATATGTCATTTCACATCTTGGTTTTTTCCTTTTTCTTTTGTGTCACTCTATATGTATATATATGTAGAAATATATATATGTTCATGTGTGTTCTCTTGATCTATCCTTCTCTATCTTTACATGATTAGTATTTTCCCAATAAAACCGAACTGATGTTCATCCAAACTTACAGTTAAAATCAGAATTGCCAGATCTTCTGAAAAGTCAGAGAAATTTATGAAATTTGAACATTTTTCCAATTTGTTGCCGAATTTCAAACATTTTTAGATGATGGCTTTACTAGCGAAATTAATAACGAGTATAACTCATTAATGTTATAGATTCGTATTCCGCTACCTTCTTTCCTTTCTTAATCTTTTCTAGTTTCTGAGTTTTGCAGACACTGACGAATGCTTTAATATATCAGTAAATTTTTGCATTGCTAAACTTAAGAATGAATGCTAATTATTTTTTTCTTGAAGGATTTTGTAAATATATTTTAACTCAAAAATATTTATTGAAGAAATTTTGAACACAAGAAAACTTAAAAATTTCATCTGCATTGTTTATATATATAATTTGTTTGAGGATACTTTTCGTAAACAGAGTTTTTGGCTTCGTAAAAGAATTCGACACTAGATGTCTTTTGCTAGTTTTTTTTGTATTAACTAACAGTTGAAGGTCATGCAACCGTAAATTAAGGAGATTGCTCATAGTCGAATTGAATGAATACTCATGTTCACAAACCAACTAGTTTAAAACATGAGCTGCTAATAGTATACACAGATAGAGATGTTTAAATTTTAAGATATTTATAGTTTGCCGTGTGCTCGTACTACGACATTTTATCAATTTTTAGTTTTCTTTTTTTGTCATGATTGAATGGAACACGACTGATTTATATAAGGAGAAGCAATATCATACACACACATTCAAAAGCAATTTGACAGCAATTAAAATTTTTTGTTTATTACCCTCATAATTAAAAACATGTTGTCTTAGACTTCATAAAATTTGCTTTTTAATATGTGTGATATTATTTTTTCTTATGTAAATAGTTCTGCTTCATTCAAACATGATGAAAAAAGAAAACAAAGCATTGATGAAATCTTGCAGTGTGTGTACACGATCTTTTACTTTAAGCTATATAATGGTTGTGTTGTTTTTCTTTACTATGAAATACTTTTGAAAACAAAGTATGAGTTGATAAACAAACAAAAAGTGAAGCCTTTTGTACAAGTATGTCACCATGATAGTCCTTAGTTTGGAAAAATTTACTCTTTCTGATTAGTTTTCGATTTCGAAAAAAAATTCTGATTTTTAAGTTTTCCATCTGGTAATTCTGGTAAAAATACCAGAAGGGATTCTTTTCTTCATTCTTCACAAAAAAGTGCATATGTGATTTAGACGGAAGAAAAAAAAAGAGTTACTATCTAATTCAAAAATCAAGTGACAATTCTGAAAAAGTAAAATTTCAATGGGCAAATCTCGAAATGAAATGGTCAATTGCCCATTTGTCCCTTCCTTGACTACGCCGCTGCATACAAACGAAAGTGGAAGAATAAGTCAATGCAAAAGCATAAAATCGAAGTCGGACAAGTACTAATTAGGGCACTTGATCAGTGGAACGATTGCTCGCGAGTATGGATCTCATAGGTATGGCTGTGAGTAGCTGACATGGACTTTCTCTTCATGTACATCCAGATCTACGTCTATATGTGACAGAAAAGGAATGAATGTATGAATGAATCTGTTTATGTTATATTATATCAGTTATCAAGTAAAAGTCGAAAAACAAATCAGTCTAATATATTTAATTAAATTTTTGTATAATTACGATGTTTATGGCTCACTTTCCGTACTTCAGTTTTTTTTTGCATGTTGATAGATTGTTAAAATTAAATTCTCTTTATCA